AAACCATGATCCTACCTCTAATCTCGCTTCAACCATGTTTAATTTTTTATGGTCACCCAAATGATATTTTTGATAATGTAATTTCAATCAAGTTTGATTTAGAGTCTATCAATTACATATTGATAGGACATGTCTCAAGAGGCAACCCTCTAAATTTAAGCTCAATTTGAGACCTCTATCCCTAGGAATTAGATTGAAATCCAAAGGTTATAAAACCTTCAAATATTTACTATCTTTGTCAATAGACCTACCACCCAGTGGATCTAGATCTCGAAGATCTCTCTAAAGCCTCTAATCATATCCAGACACATAATGATGACTAGTTTAACATTAAATTATATTTTGGTGGACCCACTTTGGCCCTCAGTTGACCAGCGGTCAAAATGACCAAAATGCCCTTAAAGGAAAATTTTGGAGTTTCCTCTACACTATAACATAGACTTTTCAAATCAAAGCCCAGAAACTCCTCCAATGAATCCTAATCACCATTACGATTGCAATGGACTCAAGCCTAAACCCTGTTCAAGATTATTTGACAAAGTCAGCACCTTTTGACCAAAAAACCCTTTAGGTTCCATTGCTCATTCGGGAGTATAAGTTGAAAAAGTGCTTTTATAATTTCCAAAATAATTGCATCATTTTTTTCAAAATTAAGACAGGAGAAAATTTTTAAAATACCAATTCACTCGCCCCTCTTCGTTAACCGTTGGGACAAAAATTTAGATCTAATAACCTAACTCATATTTAACAAGTTTCAACAAGTGGTATCAGGGCTTAATTTTAAAATCATAAGTTTAGACTACTTTTTGATTAACGACCATGGCTACATTTATAAACTGAATCACAGCCTGAGGATGAAGACGACATCACGTTGATGACTATATAGTTTAGAAGCTTTCTGAAGGGGAAGCAAAAGAGACGTTAGCAATGAAATCAAAGTAAGTTTAATATGAATATTAATGTTTCGAAAGATGATATTTTTTATGAGTGCATGAAATCTGGACACATTAAGTTAGACTGCCCAAAACTCAAAGCCACTCCTTGCAAGGAGAAGGTAGAGGAGAAACCAATTGTAAAGAATTACAATAAGAAATTCCAAAGAGCTTTTTGGGTGGACTCAGCTTCAGACTCGTTAGAGACTAAAAAGAAAGAGGAAGTCACCAATCTGTACTTGATGGCTGATAAACTTGATCAGTCAGATCAAGAAAAAGTATGTGACTTGACTTACAATAAACTTTTAGAAATCTCTAAATGTATACATGATGCATATAGAAAGTTAAATAAAATACATGCTAGTTTGAACTCAGAATTACAAGAACTGCAAAGAGAACAAGAAATCATTAGGAAAGATCATGCATTAATTGATAAAAATAATATTAAATTACTTGATGAGTTTGCCGATTTGAATAAGAGCTATGAAAATTTAAAATCAACCTATACAGAATTAGAAAAAGAATTTAAAACTTTTAAGGATGAATCAAAAAACATAGAGCACTATATGAATTATGACATAAGAATCTATAAGGACATGAACATGTATTTGAGATTGAAAGTGGAAGCTCTTAAAAAAAAAAATAGAAAATCCCCAACACTTAAAGATTTTACAAATCCTATTTTATATCCAAAATTTTTAAAACTCAGTAGGAAATAGAACAATTATAAAAATTTGAGAAACCCATTTCATTGAGTTAAATGTTTTAATTGTTGCATGTTTGGACACATAGCACACACATGTACTTCGGATAGAAAAACTCATTTGTTGTGGAAGCCTGAGAAGTATAAAAATAGACATATCATACATGCATATATTTATAAGTTTCTAAAAGGTGAACCCAAATTTGTTTAGGCTTGCAGGTTTAACATTTGATGATTTTGTAGGATCACTCTCACACAAGGCCTCATAAGAGCATATGGTATCTGGACAGTGGTTTTTTAAAGTATATGACTGGAGATACTACACAATTCATATCACTGGAACCTAGGAGTGGAGGCAGGGGTACACTTAGAGATAACACCACAAGGAAGGTGGTAGGATCATGTATGATTGGGATCTTGAAAACTTTTTTATAGAAAATGTTTTGTTTGTAGAAGACTTAAAGCATAATCTTCTGAGTATTAGTCAGCTATGTGATAAAGGATATTGTGTTAAATTTTTTCCTACTAGCTGCATATTAAGTTTGAATGGTAATGATGTTTTACATGGTATACAGGTAAATAATATTTATATGCTAGATTTGAATTATATCAAAACTCATACTGTTTTTTGTATATAAACTATTTTTGATGAGTAATGGCTATGACATAGGAAACTTTGTCACTCTAGCATGAAAAATCTTAAGAGAATTACCCAAAAGAACTTAGTGAGAGGTATATAAAAAACTAAACTTTACTAAAGATCACTTTTGCGATGCATGTTAATTAGTAAAATAGGGGAAGTCATCCTTTCAGTCCAATAAGGATTTTAATGCTAGTCAACCTTTAGAGATTTTACATATGGATCTTTTTGAATTAGTTGGACCTATAAGTCTAGGAGGGAAGGTATATGGATTTTTGATTGTGGATGATTTCTCTATATTTATATGGGTTAGATTTCTATATCATAAGAGTGAATCAGAAATTTTTCAACTTGGATTCAGAGGAAACTAGGATATTAGATTTTGGCAATTCAAAGTGATCATGGAGGAGAATTTAAAAATGAAGAATTTGAGGATTTAGGGTTATTAGCGACAAAGGATTGATCACAATTTTTCTGCACCTAGAATCCCTCAATAAAATGAGATAGTCGAAAGAAAAAATAGAATATTAATAGAAGCCGCTCGAGACATGTTGAGCTAGTAGCGTCTCAGGGTTATTAGCGTCTCAGGGTTAGTGAGAAAGGAAACCCCTAAACAAGATGACGAAGATAGGAAAGTTTAGAAGTTCTTTCCTTACTCCTCATACTTAAATCATGAAGATGATGTAACCCTTGAAGAGCAAGATTTCAATGAATTAAAGGAATTACCTTTTGGCTACTTTTGCGTTGGTGTCAAAACTCTTATCTCTAAAGGTTTCGCTTCGACTCGATTGACTAAGGGTAAGCTGATACCATGAAGATATCTGGAATTAAAAATTTAATATAAATTGGACAAGTGGTATCAGCTTTGGTACTATTTGTTCATGTGACAATGATTAATATTTTTTAATGATAACTAATCATCCTAAATTTGAGAATGTCCCAATAGAAGTCATCGATGCCCTCAATAGACTTTTTTTGGAGACATATAATAATTCTGATGAGCGGGAGGAAGTCTGGCAAAGATTGAGAAGAGATCTAGTAGCGGTTGTCAAATAGGCAAAAGTTTGGCAATGGTCCAAAAGATATTTAGAGGAAGTAAACGAACTGGCAGAATTTGGGAAAAGATTGGTGCTCGAGAAAAGATTTAACTGTGGTCAATGAATGGGCAGAAAAATTGGTGGGTCAAGAAACTGGTGGAAGTTTGGTGACAGTTGTGAAGAAATATGGTGACAGCCGACGAATGGGCGAAAGTTCGATAAAAAGATGGGAGGAGATCTTACAACAGTAAATAAATTGATAAAAGTCTAACAATGATCGGGAGGAGACCCGACAACAATCAATGAATTGGAAAAAGTCCAGTGATGGTCAAGAAGAGATCCGGTGCCTATCGATGAATGAGCGAAAGTTTGGAGAAATCAAAAATAGATCTTGTGGAAGTTTGACAATAGCCAGGATGAGATTTTGAGGCAATTGAAAAATGATGGAAGTTCGAAAATGGTTGGTTCTTTGGAAAAGATCGAATGATGGTCAAAGAACATGCATAAGTCCCGCGATGGTTGAGAAGAGATCCGGCAATGGCTGATGAACGAGAAAAAGTTGACGATGACCAGGAAGAGTTCCCGCGGTGATCGATGAATTATCAAAAGTCTGACGATAGTCGGGAAGAGGTTTGGAGACTTCCGATGAACGGTCAGAAGTTTGACAACTGTCGGTGATTTGGAAAAATTTGGTGGCGATCAACGAATGGTCAAAAGTTGGTTGATATGAGATTCAACTGTGTTTGATGAATGGGCGGAAGTCTTGGAACACTCCGTGATCGAGAAAAGACTCCGTGGTAGTTGGCTAAAAGAGTGCTCTCTAAGTTTGTTCCTTCATCTCATCTTCTCTTCTTCATTTTTCCCCTCACCTCATGTGAGGAATTGGGGACTATTTAAAATTTTTATTGAATGGCATGGCTTGTAAATATGAAGAGAATATAAGGTATATTCAGAGTGTTCCATCGGATGATTCATATTGATGCCCTTCATTATGAAGTTTTTACTTATTATTTAGATGACCTACATATGTAAGAATTGAGTGATCTTGGATCGTAGGATTTGTCGTATTGAGCCACTCAATTCAACTATAAGAAGGTAATATTTGGGTATTATTTAGTTATCCAGTTAATGCTCTGAAGCTTTAAAAAAATCTTTGATCTTTTGATTTGAGCCTGTTTGGGCTCGAATTTGACTTATTTTGGTGTCATTGGGCTTGTCTCTCTAATATCTTCAAGTTGACAATACTTGTATTGAAATAATAATTGGGATGGTCCCCATTTCAATTTTTGTAGCCTCAACCTCATATTTCCATTGAGGTTCATGCTTGATCATAATGATTTTTTTGGAGATTTATTAATCTTAAATTTTGGTTTAGATATAATTAGAAAGGTAAGATAATTTTTCCTGAAATGTCAGTACACACAAGAGCAAATGCAATTCTTCTAAAAAATGTTAGGAGATAACTACACATTTGAACAATAATGTTTGAAATCATCAAAACTTCATAAGTTGCAAAAATGTAAAGCATGCAAATAGCAACTATCTTAACAAAGGGTAAGCACATTTGAGATTTTTTGTCCCCGAAAAGTCTCCCCGATATACCTATGTTAATAATAACATTGTTTTCAAAGATCAACTCAATCGTCGGCACATTCACATTCCGATAATTAGTAAAGTCGTAGCATGTGTCAAGTCGCCGTCCGATATTTTGCCATGTGTTTTCTAAAAGTGATGCGTAGTGCAGAGTAGGTAATGGGCAGCAATCTGGTAATCACTGAGCCAGAGTCCAACATTGTTGCAGGGAAGCCGAACTCATTAGGTGGAAGTTCGATCTTTTCATGGTTAACATAAATAGAATCAAGATTTACGAAATAGAAGGATGGATATTTAATGCTTCTTAGCATCAGTGTATATTGCACACCAGTGGCAGAGCTACCTAGTGCGAGATACCCATCTATGGTGGGTTTTGATGGTAGACAATATGAGAATACCTTGCCATACAATTGAGGTGCTTGGGAGATAATCGAAACTGACCCCTGGCCAAGGCCTAACAACCCATCTTCCATCTCAAAAATTCCTCTGTTTAAATGGCCGCATCCAAAGCGAAAGTTATGAATAACATCAGAGGAGAGTCTTAAGGTGTCTTTAATGAGGGATCCTTTAGTTATAGAATCATCTCCATATTGTAACTCATAGAGACAATCGAAGAATGTCCACCAGTTGCAACTATGTCTTTTGAGTTGGGAATAATATATGGAGAAGCAGGAAATGGTTCTAAAGGTGGAGGACTCATGTGGGTCATAAATTGGGTCTTTTTGCTTATGGCATAGATCGCATGGCTTACATTGGATCCATGTGAGATCGCTACCAGTGTCAATCTCAACTGAGAAGAACTTGGGAGGGGTGCCTAGGCCTATTGTGACGATAAAGTTGTTACTACCGAGAGATCTGCCTTCATTTGTCGGAACTCTTGCATCAAGAGGGTTGAAGCTGGAGGTGTTGGCGACGGCTAGATGATGAATGTAGTCGACGCGGGATTGGTCTTGTTGCATGATCAGATCATACTGTTCCACAAGGGATAGATTATTTTGGTTCCCCAAGGGTGAGCAAGGGCCATATCGGTCGACCAACTTTAGTTTGTAAGGGCTCGTGCCTGTCAAAATTGGTAAAGCTTCTTAATGTACATATTGACTGGGATTAGAAAATTATGGTTGACAAAGAATCTTTTATTTTGCATTAGGTGTGAGTTTGTGATATTTATCAACTGAGCTTAGTTTCTACAAATTTATTACTAATTTATTTAATTTACAAAAAAAAAGTTTCAAACATAGTATTAAGAAATTGCTAGCATACCATTATGAGGCACGGAGCAGGAGCTGCTCGGCATTAGTGACTCGACGTCGATGAGATTGTATTCTCCGGTAAGCCCACGTACTGATACTAGAGAAATCTTCTCTATTAGAAGCAAAAAGTAGAAGAGTTTGAGAAGAGTATAACATGGGAGCAGAAAAGAAGAAGTCGCCATGAGAATAAAGCTTCCAATTTTCCCTTTGTAGAACTTGAAGGAATAAGCCAAGCATATGAGGCTTTATAGGTGTGGTTTGTTGCGCATTACACATTTGGTTGTCCATTTTTAATGCTTCTTCTGTTTCAAAATGTCAAAATAACAAAAGTTTATATGTTTAGAAGAACTGCTTTCCTAAAATAAAATCAACTTGCTATTTTGGGTGAATATGCCATCTTTTTCCTACTCTTGAATATCTCATTTTCTAAAATTAGAAAGTACATATGTGTTAATTGAACCTAATTAGGGAAGACCACCAGACTACTAATTAATTATACCGATTATTTGTGCTTATTTTTTAATTGTTCATCAAAAATAAAAGTTAATATAAAATAAAAAATGATTTTCTAATAAAATAAAACTATTTATTTAATAGTTTTCCATTAGTCTCCTGAAAATTCATATACATATATATATATAAGTGACATTCTAAATATCCCAAAAAAATTTAGGAATTTTTAGAAGATTTTTAGACCTTTAATTAACCAATCCTAATTTACCTGATAAATAGGGCTCAACAACTTCTAAAAATTATAATAAATCCATTTTAGAATAAAAAATTACCCACCATAGCTCAAAATCTTCAAATTTTAGTCCTTAATCTCATATAAATAGGACTCCTTAGGTTGTCCATAATCTGACCCTTAATTTCAACTTTAATCAAAATTACCTTTTTGCCCCTAATGAATCATTAAAAATTATTAAAAATTCTAAATTTTCCCCTATCACTTGGAAACACCTTTTTTTTTTACCTTTGGGAGTGATTCCAATCAGTTTGGATCTGATTTGGATCAAAACCATAAAATCCCTCCTTAATTAGATAATTCAAATAATTCAATAATTACCCAAACTTTAGAAATTCATAACTAATTATAGAAAATTCCGAATTGGGCAAACTCAATTGAATTCAACTTTAATTAGGGTTTGGTATTTATTAAAAATATTAGGATTCCAGAAACTAACCTAAATTTGAAAGTCAACTTTTTGGTCAACCTCAACCTATAGTCTAGAGCCAAAAAATTCCAAAATTTAACACTTTGCATAGGGAACTCCAAATCCAACAAATTACCTTTCTAACTACTCATCTTAATCCCTAGTATTTACCTAAAATGTTAGGAACCCAAAACCTAGCCTATTTCACATATTGGCCTTTTGGACCCCCTTAGCATAGTACCTAGGAGGACCTGAGACTTTTGAAAATTAGATAATACAATTTGAACTTCAAATATCACTACCCTAAGTATTAAAAAGTGATCAACAAACTAAATTAACTAAAATATACCCTAATTTATTAATATTTAAACTTTAAATAATTTTTTTTTTCTAGCCTTCAACAAACCTGAACTATAGGCAACTTTAATCAACTACCCAACTTAGGATCTATCCTAACCACATAAGTCTTACACATATATAGAATTATTTGCTATGGTACCACTTTTAGACTTAGGCTAGATCGGTGTTTTCTTTTCTGGTGTGTGCCGGATTTTTCGATGATTTCATTTCAAGTTATCAAAAATTGATTGGTGTGTTTGCTTACTTTTACTGTACTATGGATTGATGTGATATGCATTAGATTTACCCCTAGGTTAAGGATGATATATATATTAATTTTCTTGCAAATGGCCATGCTCATGTAATGCTAAATAAAAAGGGGGCAAATGTCATAATTTCTAATTATGTTTTGTGCATGTTCTCCATAATTACTCAGCCCCCCTAAATAAATAAGGGCTAAGAATCATTAATAATAACTGCTACATGTACTTCAGAAGCTGCTTAGCCCTCAATAATTAAGAGCATGGCCAAATGTGGCTATGATGTGCATTTTTACTTTCTATATAACTGCTTGAGATATTATAAATGCTTGGAATTTTTATTAGGATAACCTTGCAAGTGAGTCTAGATTTTTTGTTTTCATTTAATATAATAATTTGTAATATTGGTGAGAGTTGTGAAAGTGTCTTTGAGTGTGAATATTCTTATCCAACTCGAATTTTAAAAGAAGAAGGTATCCTCAAAGGGAAGAGTCTTCTTCCATTTGAAAGATCAAATTTGGATGGCTTTAGATATCCAAAGAGAAAAGAAAATATCCCTTTTTAGGGAAGATTGTCTCTTCGTTTGGATATTCAAGCCCGGACGAATCCAAGGAGTCCAAGGAGGAGAGATCCAAGGAGTCCAAGGAGGAAAGATCCAAGGAGTCCAAGGAAAAGAAGTCCAAGAAGACGGAAAAGCTGAAGACCTAATATCCCACTCAAATTCATTTGCATCAATCCTAGGCCTAGAAATCTGGATTGTTGGCAGTGGTGCCCATCCACTTTACTTTTTTACAGACCCTAGTTTGTAATTAAAGGGCAGTTGGCCTATGAACATTTACTTGATTAGTTTGATTATATTGATGTGTTTGATTGATATTGATTGCTTCTAGGGTTGTATGTCTTTCCTAGTTTATTGGCAAATTGTATGTCGATTTTTATTTTAGCATGATTTTCGTTAGGCTTTTTAAGGACTAAAATATTTTCTACTCATGCTATGAGACACTTCCCGCCTACGGGTAGAGTTTGGATAATCTGGCCTATGAGGATGAGGTATCGGACCTGGAGAACTCTAGTCTCCTTCTAAAAATTATTTTATAATAAGTCTATTTTTAAAATCTAATGCATACTTGATTTGAAAATTTTAACTAGCATGCATTACATTAGAAACTAACTTAATCAAAATTTTAATTGCATTAGTTAGGGGCATTTACCCAACATAAGTATAAGGCCAATTAGAAAACCCTCTAGATGTCGGCCTTAACTTCCAAAAATATTATAACCCACCCATCTTTCATAAAATGACCTGACAACATGATTTTAAAGCGATTAGGTGGTTAGCTGGCTCCCCAATCCAGGCCGGGATAAGCCCAAGTTTTTGCACTACATTAGTTAGGACACGAGTCTTAGTGTTATTCGTAGAACACTAAACACAATTTAGATTTAGGAATCAGTGCTACTATATTCGGTCTCGTAGTACACCTAAATAGTGGGTATGTCATTTCCTTTTAGGGACTATAAATCCCTCTTATCTGCATCACTTGGATGACGCCACCTCCATCTTTTCTGTCATGCATGTGTTGAGTGCTCGATTTCTTTTCTCCAATTTCTCCTTAGTACCCTAGACCCTCTGAATGCTGGTGTGAACCCCGCATGTGGATTGAGTCAAATCGGACCTTTCTACCTTTTGAGTAGGACTTTCTAGTCTATACCCTTGTGTCAATCCCACTTTGAATGGATAATGTGTGATCCTTAATCGAGAGTTTTCTCAGGCTCCTGCTTGGGATGTAATTAACTACGGGGGCTTGCACCCATGAGAAACTGAATTCCACCATCTACTAAACCCCATCCGAGCTGATGTATCGGGTGGGGGAAACCAGTTGTGATTCAAGTCATATATATTATTAGCCATTGATGTTCATAGGTGAGAGTCACTATCCTCCATGGTTAATCGTATGTATGGTCTAATCTTCCCTTCCATTGGCTTGCTTATGTCGAGTATAAAGGCCTACGATCATTTTGTCATACAGGATAGTGCGGTCGTACCCTTTGCATTCGAACCCCATGAGTGGTGCTCTTTCGGAGGTCCACAGGTCAGACTCAAGAAATAAAAAATAAAGAAAAATAAAATTATACACTTTATTACTTGACATTCCTATTCTACCCATTCTTGAGCTTTTAGTAGCCTTGAGTAATGTATGTCTTACATGCAATGTTAGTGCTCACCTATAAAAAAAATATTTAAAATATGTAATGAAAAAATAATAATTTAATCAATAATATTTATCATCGTTAAAATTACATACTAGGGATCCTGGATTGCAACATAATAGGTAATTGAGATTTCATTAAATGAATACAGGCTGATTAAAACCTGGACTGAAGGATTGATTCAAGATGATTAAAGTTTAAATGGATACTAGTGATTAAAGTATTGATTGATTGATTGTAAGGTTGTTGAAGTGCTTTATAATGATTTTTTAGAGAGTATATGGTTGATTGAATGTAGGCTAAATGTGGATCTAATTGATTATGAGTTTGATATATGATTAAAGTTTAATTAAGATTTCATTAAATGTACACATGCATATTAGAAGCTGGAGGTGATTGAACTGTAGATTCAATGCTAGAAGTGCAAGTAAGATTGACTTAAGAGGACTAGTAGGATGATTCATTGAAATTTGATTGGATATATGCAGGATGATTGAAATGATTTTGGAATGTGATTGAATTTTAATTGGAGACTGGAAATTTGATTAAATGTGCTAATTGAATGCTAGAAGTGCATGCTATATTGATTGATAATGGTTGGCTTCCTGAATGTATGATTAAAGATAATTGATTGAGTTCTAACTAATTGTAGGGCTATTGATTGATTTAATGTAGACCCTTGATTGATAATGGTGGGCAGGCTGATTCATTGAGATTTGACTGAAGACTAGATATATGACTAATAGGATATATTCAGGCTGATGATTGATAATTGGCTAGATGATTGAGAGGTGGCTGATTGGTAACTATCAAATATTTAATCAGAAGTCTGCAAGGTCCTAGTGACCTCATACAAAATGAGGTCAACAACTACATTTATGTTCATGTCCTTTTTTTGTTGGTGCTTAACTCCAAAAAATTCTTGAATTTTCTTTTCTTGGGACGTCCCCTTTGTCTCAAAGTTTAGGGCACACCAAATTGGACATCATTTTTAGCAACATTGATTCTTGAAAAGCAGTGTTTCTATTACACCTTTCTATGCTTGTTTATTCATGAAATTAACTTAATTTTATCAATAAAAAATAACGTGAAGCTAGAAGTTATTAGTATTAAAGAAAAACTTTCATACCTACTAACATAGTAGAAGTGGTCAATATAAATATGCCAAAGTGGATGTTCCCTGTTACCAATTATTGCAGCAATGTGAATACATTGTAGGCC